AATCTAAGTAAATAATATCAAATTCTTTATCATGATCAACAGCCTCAAAAGCTTTACTGAAGAAAGGTAATAAATTAGTTAGACAACAATGGCCTCTCGTGAATCCATGCTGAGTATCATAAATCAAGCTATGCTTATCGAGATGGCTTCTTATAATCTCAGCTATAATTGACTCTAGTAATTTGCCTACAATTGAGGTCAGGCTTATTTGGCGGTAACTTGTCGGTAACGACTTGTCCCCTGCTTTAAAAATAGGAATTACATTAGCCATCTTCCACATATCAGACACTACACCTGTTTGAAGAGATAAATTAAAAATATTAGTTAATGGTTCACAGAGTTCCATTTTGCATTCCTTAGGAACCCTTGAAAAAAACTCATCAGGACCCGGCAACTTATTTTGCTTCAGTCTGTCTATCTGCTTCACAACCATTTCGCTAGTGACTGTGATGTTACATAATTTATCTTCTTCAGGCCCACTATAAAAATTAATTACTGGAATATTGTTAGTGTCTTCCTGTGTAAAAACCGAGAGAAAATAATTATTTAAAATCGACCACATTTCATTCTCTTTGTCAGTTAGATGCCCATAGTTATTTTTAAGGGGACCTATCTTATCTCTAACTTTTGTTCTATAGACCTGGAAAAAACTTTTTGGGTTAGTTTTCGAATCCCTAGCAACCATAATTTCATAGTCCCTTTTAGCTTTTCTTATCACCTTTTTAATATCCCTCTTAATGTCAATATATTGATTCAAAAGATGACCCTCGCCTCTTTTGATACGCCTATAAATTCCCTTCTTATGCCCTAGTAGATATTTCAGCCTATTATCCATTTTGGGTCATTTCTATTTGATCAAATTTCTTTATACAGGATAAACGTTCTTTGAGCAGCATGTATAGTGTTCAGAAAACTGTCATATTAATAGCTCTCTTCGTTACCCCAGTCAACAAACGATAACTGTTCTCTAAGCCCATCGTAATCTGCTAAGCGAAAATCTGGGACTGTTACTGAGTTATCCCTACTAACATACTTCCATTCAATGCTAAATGTAATTGATCTGTGGTCGCTAGCACCCAGTTTCTCTGAAATTTCTAAATTATTAACAAGGGATTCATTGTTTGCCATAACTAAGTCAAGCAGGTTATTTCCCCTTGTAGTCTCTGTCACAAACTGCTTCAAAAAACAATCCTGAACTACTTCTGAGAAGTCATATGATTCTAAATTCCCAGTCAAGAAATTCCAATCAATATGACTAAAGTTAAAGTCTCCTAGAATTACTACATTATCGTGCCTTGTGGCCTTAACAATTTCCTCCCATAGTAGTCTCCCTTGGTCCCTATCTAAGTTTGGGGGACGGTATATCACACCTAAAATCAATTTTTCATGCCCCACTGAAAATTCTATCCAAACAGACTCTGTATGTGTTACTTCAGACTTAATAACCGTTTTTATGCAACAGTTCAAGCGATCTCGGACACACAATGCCACCCCACCCCCCTTCCTGATACTTCTATCTACTTGGAACAATTTAAAACCCTGAATGTGACATTCCGCAGGCATGTCCCGACTTTTTGAATTAAACCACGTCTCAGTTATGGCAAATCCATCAATGTTTCCTGCACTAGCAACTAATCTCAATTCGTCTATCTTATTCCTAGCACTACAGCTATTAGCATAATATACATTGAAAGACTCTCCTTTCTCTTTACCCTTCTTGCTCATTTCTGTCTTTCTACTAAACCTACTACTGTCCTTATCACCTAGTGTCACTGGCTTTTCAATATCTACCTCGTTCTGCTTATTACTAGTTCCCCTAGAACTCATAATATTACTACACTGGGACTTCACTGTTTTTCTGCCAAAACCCATACCACTAACTATTCCTAGTTTAAAGTCCTAACAGCTCCCTCCACTGCAGTTGCCAATGCCCCCACCCCAGACCTAGATAAGTGAACCCCATCCCTGGCATACATGTCATTTCTGCCATAGAAGAGGTCCCAGTTGTCAATGAATGTTACCGCATTTTCCTTACAGTATTTGTCCAGCCAGCAATTGACACCAATTGCCCTGGACAACCATTCATTTCCAACTCCTTTCCTTGGCAAAATACCACATATGACAGGGTTCCCACCCTTCCTCCTAATTATTTCTATTGCTGACCTATACCTGCTAATCAGGTCCTAATTACACTACGCACTGTGTGCTGCAGGATTTTTTTTATACTGCGCACATTGACCACATAGACCCATTCTTTCATATGTAGGCCTACCAGCTTTCTCTCACTAGATTTGAGGGTGCTAGAATTTATGCATACTAGTACGTTAAAAACCCTGGTGCGTAAGCCGTACTAGTACGTCAGAAACCCTGAAAGGGTTAAGCAGCACACCATGATACTTGGGCTGCTGTATCTCTTGATAATGACATGATATAACTAACAAAGACCTCTCAATATGCTCATTGCTGATGAGTTTTTTCTGTATTAGGCAGCCTAGTGACTTTGACACCTGGGTTTGATTATGTAGCACCATGTCTGAAGGCTTACAGCCTCATATACTGTAATGACATCTAATGAATCTATATGCATTGGTGACTCATATTATTTCTTCATCTGTTTCATTGGTTATGGAATTATTAAATACTGTGTATCCTAAGGACACTGCATACTCTACAAGGTCTGTACTAACCCTTTCAGGGTCGAGACCCCTGATCCTGAACTTTCTCTCATGGTCAATAAATTAAAAAAAAAAATATTTTTTTCTTGTGAAATGATAGAGAATCTTTTTCCAATGGAAATGACACCAAAAGTATGAAATTTTATGGAAAACTTACGGAATTACGCTCTCACGAAGTTAGCGGTCTCGACGATACTTACGCATTGGCAATTTTGCCCACTTTGATCCCTATTTTCGGCTAATTCCAATGTTTCAGTTGATTAAAATCATAGCTATTTTGCTAGAACTCCATTTGTTCTATTGAATGAGTACAGGAAACCACCCATTTACCAATTTCAACCACCCAGTGAAATGGTCAAAAATTGGCAATTTGGCCAGCTTCACACAAATTTCAAAAGACGCCATTTTCAAAATAGGATCCAGAGTAAACAAGACAGACATTCCTGGCACTAAAATAACATTTTCTCTGTTCATTAGTCATGTCTCCAGGCCCCTTTTATATTATTCTTGCTTTCCATTTTGAATTTTTATTCTCACAAAAAATAGAAGATTTACTGTTATACAGACTACTGCATTATTGTAAAAATGGTATAAATAATATCAGTGCACTTGTGGAAGAATATTAGACTCACCAGTTGATATGTATTGGACGCATGACGTGATTCGTTTACTCTTGAACATCGGCAAAAATCGAACGTTTCCACTACTTTGAGCTGAATTTCAAGGTACTTTTCATCATGAAATCAATCAAAATCATCTCTGTTTCTGTAATATATCTTCCATTCTATCAAATGAGACCAAGAAAACGAGAATACAACCATAAATATCATACGAAAATACACTTCAAAGTTTCTGTTTTAAACCAAAAACATGGCCGGAGTTATTTTTTTCTCATTATGCACTGCGGGTTGCAGGTTTTTTTTTATACTGCGCACACTGACCACGCAGACCCATTCTTTCATATGTAAGCCTACCAGCTTTGTTCTGCTTGATTTGAAGGTGCTACAATTTATGTGTACAAGTACGGCACCGACCCTGGCTCTCAAGCCATACAAGTACGGCACAGCCCCTGAAAGGGTTTATACTTGGTTTGTCTCTTATCTTCCTCTTGTACTAAATGCTTGGTTTGTCTCCTACCTTCTTCTAATACATGTATAGAGCAAATGGACCTAATGTAGCTTTTTATCACCTGGTCTAGACTTGCCACCTCTACAGGCACATGTACATCATTGTGTGGCCATATTGGACTAAAGAGGTTATATATGAATGGCTTGTTTGTAATAAAAGGTTGTCTGGGTTGTTGGGACAGTCTCAATTTGATATAGAAAACAAGAAGCCACTGTGCTGTAGGTGGAAGGGGTAAGAAGTCCAAATTGAGCAGAAAGGGTACCAGTGTTTAGAACTTGTTGTTTAGTGGTAATACTGATAGGCAGTGATTTCTGAAGTAGTTTTATCAGAATCGATGTATAGAAGTTTTTTGTACAGAGTGGTAGAACTTTGGAATAAAATATAAGAAAAAGTTGCAAGTTATACACAAATTGTAAATTTTAAAAATTACGTTGTAAATTTAATACTGATAATAGGGCACCACGAGCAAAGCTCTACATCTCTGGTTTTGAATAGGTAATAATTGCAAATACCATAGAGTATATGATCACACTATTAAACTCATGATCCTGGACACTAGAATAAATACACATGCAAGAAAAATAAAATAAGAAATTATTTGATACATTGAGCTTTATAAGAACTTATGTTTGCGTAACATGATAATTTTTTAATTTAAGAATACTGTATAAATAATCAGTAATTTATTTGTTTTGTTGATCTATACACCTCTAAATGCATTTGTATTCTAACTTATTAAATAAATGAAGGGTGGATTGATTATTAATTAATGCATAGTTATAGAGTAGTAATTTTGTTTTCCTCTTTTGTGATGCATAGATAGGATTGGTAACAAACACTTATTCTATTCTTAGATAATTATATTGATATGACTTGTAATTCTACCATTCTGTAATTCTAGTCAGATTGACGTGAATTCTTCAGTGGCATTGGTTTTAATGGGATGGTTTAGTTACTTGGTCAGCACTGCCTAAGATGGTGTTGTCTCTTTGCAGCGGCTGGCTTCTGTCTTGGCTGCTGGATGCGCAGGTGTGGGCCTATTAGGGCGTGTAGGAGGAATGAGCGAGGCTGAGCGCTTGGCGTGGGCACGAAGCCTCGGAGGTGGACAAACTTGGACCTGTCCAGTGTGTCACAAACAGTTTGGCATGCGTTACTACTATGAACGTCACCTTAAATGTCACCAAGCTCAAAAGGACCACCAATGCCCCTACTGTTCATTTCGTGCTTCCTATAAATGGAATTTGAAATCACATGTGCGGAACAAACACCGCGACAAACCACCTCCTCTCTAATTATAATACATTACTCTGAAAAGCTCATGTGAATGGTAATATATACAGTATGTATGTTGTGTGTGTGCATGTGTGTATATGTGTATGTGTTAGTTACCATTTTGTCCTAGGCACATGTCGATTAGACACTAGGCCTGTTAGCGTGTTAGTGTTTGAGCGTGCGTGTGTGTGTGTGTGTGTGTGTGTGTATGTATGTTTGTGTTTATGTGTATATATATGTATGTGCGTGTATGTGTGTTTATTTGTATGTGTATATATATATATATATATGTATGTATGTACAGTGGACCCTTGGTTATCAGTTATAATTCGTTCCAGAAGGTGAGCCTAAATCCGAAAAGGCCGAAAACCGAAATACAGTATTGTTTCCCATAAGAATTAATGTTAATCTAATTAATCCGTTTCAGACACCCAGAAATATGAACAAAAAATACATTTTTTAAAGATTAACTATAGTTTTACATACAGAAAACAATGAGAAATAAATATGAAGCACAAATTTTAATGATAAATGAACATTACATACCATAATTGAAGACTCTTGTTGGCTTGTGTAGTGTAGTCCCCCTATTATTACACTATACAGCCATATTATTACCATATTCACTGAGTTTAATAATTTTTGACAACTACCTTTAGATGCCATCATAAACAAAGGGAGAAGTAATGAATAATTCATGCCAAGAATTGTAAACAAACGCATATGAAGGGTGGTTAGTGGGTGAGACACCAGCTTCACAGTTTTCTCTAATGCTTAATCAGAGAAAACGTAATGTTTACTCTCCACCCGACTCCACTCAATAGCATATAAACATTGCATGTTTATATGCTATGTTTATTTGCTAAATGCTATGTAACGTGTTTCTTATGTAATTTTGAAGAAAATATCATAGATGGATTGATGAAAATGTTTATATTAACCTAAAATACGACAATGTGCCCAAGAGTGATTATTATTAACCATACATCGCATATAAACATTGCATGTTTTTATATACTATGTAACGTGTTTCTTATATAATTTTGAAGAAAATATCAGATGAGTTAATGAAAATGTCTGTACATATTAACCTAAAATAAGACAATGTGCCCAAGAGTGATTATTATTAACCCTTTCAGGGTCCGTCCCGTAGATCTACGGCTTTACGTTCAGGGTCCAAACCGTAGATCTACGCCATGAGCTCAGCTCACTCTGATAAACTGTGAGTGGTACATTTGGGCCTAGATATGAGAGAATACATCTATGTGGTATGTGTGCACCACATAAAACAGATCCTGCAGCACACTGTGTATAATGAGAGAAAAAAAATGAAATCATGATTTTTCGATTAAAACAGCAACTTTGCAGTGTTTTATCGTATGTTTTTTATAGTTGTATTTGCGATTTCTTGGTCTCATTTGATAGAATGGAAGACATATTACAGAAATAGAGATGATTTTGATTGGTTTTAGCACTGGAAATGGCTTGAAACTGAGCTCAAAGTAGCAGAAATGTTAAATTTTTGCCGATATTCAAGAGTAAACAAACGACCTCACACGTCTAATACACATCAGCTGGTGGGTCTAATATACATTCACAAATATGGTGATGATATTTATACAATTATTACAGTATTGCATAACAGTAAATCTTCTATTTTTTGGTGTGAATAAAAATTCATTATGTGAATAAAAAATCAAAATGGAATTTATTTGTAAAGCCTCAAAACATAACTAATGAACAGAGGAAATGTTAGTTTAGTGCCAGGAATGCCTACATTGTTCATTCTGGACCCTATTTTGAAATTGGAATATTTTGAACTTTGTGTTAAATTGGCCAAATTAACAATTTCCGGTCACTTTATTTTGTAGTTGAAACAGTTGACTTGGCGATTTCTTGTGCTCAATCGATAGAATAGAAGTAATACTAGTGAAATAGCTAAGAATTTGGTTGATTGGAATAATGTAATTGGCCTAAAATGGGAGTCAAAGTCGGCAAAATCGCCGATTCGTAAATATCGCTGACACATCAAAATTCGCGAGAGCATAATTTCGTCAATTTTCCACCAAATTTCGTACTTTTTGTTTTATTACCTTCACAAAAAGATTCTCTATGATTTCATAAGAAAAAATAACAAATTTTTTTTTTTTAAAATTCTGGACACTGGTGCGTGACTCCAGATTTGGGCCTTGGACCCTGAAAGGGTTAAACATACATCACATATGAACATTGCATATTTTTATATACTATACTGTTTCTTATATAATTTTGAAGAAAATACCATAGAAGGATTAGTGAAAATGTCTATATTAACCTAAAATAAGACTTTTAATGTGCTCAAGAGTGATTTATTATGTATCCAATACGGCGGCTAATCTCCGAAATAACAGCCGATAACCGGGATAAAATTTCGACCAAAAACGCGGGTGAAAATCAAATTGGCTGATATCTGGAACGGCCGATAACCAAGGGTCCACTGAATATATATATATATATATATATATATATATATATATATATATTATATATATATATATATATATATATATATATATATACACACACACACACACACATGTATATACAGTGGTATCTCGGGTTATGAACTTAATTCGTTCCAGAAGGCTGTTCAAGTGCCGATACCGAACGAATCTGTTCCCATAAGGGATAATGTAAATTAGATTAATCCATTTCAGACCCCCCAAAAAATACGTTTACAAAAGCACTTACAAAAATTCACTTGCATAATTGTTTGAGTTGAGAGCTGTTTGTAACCCAAGGTACCGCTGTATACATATACATACATACATACATACATACATACATACATGCATACACACACACATAACATATATATATATATATATATATATATATATATATATATATATAATATATATATATATATATATATATATATACATATATATACAGTGGTCCCTCGGTTTTCGTAGTTCTCGGGAATCATAAATTTCGGAAATCATAGGGATATTTTTGTATAAACATGGGCTCGCTTTTCATAGGTTGACTTGCGAGCCGTAGTTCATCCGGGATGCGTACCCACGGCGTGAGCCATGGCGGCAGCCAGTCTGGCATTGTTTACCAGTGAGCGAAGGTCCCCTCACGTGCTCCAGTGAAATATTTCATAATATTCCATTTATTTTAGTGCTTGCAAGTACAGTACTAAATAACCTACCATGGCTCCAAAGAAAGCTCCTAGTGCCAAGCCTGTGGTAAAGAAGGTGAGAAATACGATTGAATTTTAAAAAAAACCATATTAAACAATAAAAAAGTGGTACAAGTGTGGGAACTGGCCAGGATGTATAAAAAAAACCCTAAAAACCCTTATGTTCCATAGTGGCCAAGAAAAGGAAATCAAGGATGTGTTGTTAAAAAGGGGGGTAACTATGCTGACAAAAATTAGATCACCAACTCGAAGGGTGAAAAGTTTTATTGGGTGGAAAATGAAAACAATTAGCAGGGATACTCTTATGATTCTTTTATAGTAAAAAGGCTGGGCTTTTGCTGACGTTTTGGTAAAAAAATTCCCTGCAATGTGGGGATGTGATAATTTTTAAACCAGCAAAGGGGTTTGAGAGATTTTAAAAACCCTACGGCTACACAGTGTGGTAAGGGATGGTGAGGTTGCCAGTTCGGGGGCCCCAAGGCGGCTGAAAAATTTGTGATGAATTCAAGGAGTAATAGGGTGAAGGACTGAAACTGAAAAGTGTTCAAATTGTGACAAAACAGGCCTCTTTTGGAAAAAAAGCCAAAAAAGGACCCTTTATTTCACGGAGGGAAAAGGAAAGCCAGGGCACAACCCTTTAAAGACAGGGTGTCTAATGTTCTGTGCTAATCAGGGGGATTTCAAGTGAAACCTTCTAGTGTAATTCTGAAATTCCCCGAGTGTTAGGGAAAAAAAATGTTTTGAAGAGTAAATTGTGTTGTTTTGAAAATTTTAGTAAAGGGATGGGTCACGAGGGAATCTTTGTCGAGTGGTTCAATGAATTTTTTGGCCCCAGGTGAAAGGTATCTCCCGGAAAAGAAAATTGGGTCCAAGTGCCTGTAGTAAAGGACAATGACCTGCTCATCTCCAAACTTGGATGATCTAATTTTCGAGGAGTTTGGGTTATCAAGGAAGTTCTTGCCCCCGAATACCACTCCTTCCCCAGCCCATGGCCACAGGTTATTGCAACTTAAAAAAAATCACACCCAAAAATGTTTCACAGGTGCTTAAATGTGACCACAGACACTCACTTGACCCCAAAGGGGGTTTTGGAGAGAACACTCAGCATCCCCATTGCATAACCCCCTTTTAGGTATGGGTTGGGGGGGAGTGACTACCAGGCTTTGAAATCTGCCGGAGAAAATTGTGGAGTTTTTGTGACAAGAGGATTTTGGGGTTTAGGACTGACCCGGGTTACCATGTTGTTTAAAAAAAAATTGTGGCCTAGGGAGTTCCATGGGGTTGGTGTGAGTTTGGAGGTGTGAAGAATTGGTGGAAACCAAACGAAGAGTCACCACGAGGGGCTGCAAAAGCTTCAGCAGGAACGAACAGACGCGCTCAGAATCTTCGCGGGAGGAGGAAAAGAGATGGAAAATGGTGCCTTCTTTAGAAATTTAAAGAGGTTTTTTCTATGTGGGGTTTTTTTTTTTTGCTATCTGGATTTTTGTTATGTACCTGTCTCACAGGTACACACAAATACAAGTATACATAGTGTAAATTACCTAGGGCAACCCAAAAAAATCCAGACAAAGTGCTATACTCTGCTTGAAGATATGAGTAAATGTGATGCAGTCTTGTGGCTCTCTCTGAGACAGAGAGCTAGACAGATAGACAGGGAGCTTGACAGACAGACAAGTAGACCAACAGACATGTTTGTGTACCAGCAAAAACAAAGCGAGGGCCGATGCTCATAGTCACCTCTAATCTTATCTTATCAAGTCTTATCACCACACCCTCGCGTATGCTCATCAAATGTCAGCTCTTATCTAATGTTATCTCATCTTATCACCTCACTGTCAGGGGTGGACTGAGGCTTGTTTTTCATGCTT